ATGAGTGGATTTGCTGGACCACCATGACCCTATGTACAGGAAAAGGAAGGATCACCATAGAATGAAACATTGCCATTTAAGAACATCTATGCATATTTTGTAACCTACCCTAGCCTTAAAACAATAAAGCTGAGAGTGATACATTGAGGATCAGGATCACTTAAGGTTATTTTTAGCTAATAAACTTGAGGAGGAAGAAGTCACAATGTTTTGGCCAAATGAAGAAGAGAAACTGAAAGGACCATCTTATTTTTCCCCACTGACTGCCACCTTTTGTCCCCTAATTCTGAGAAGGCCATCTCCTCATACTTAATACAGAAAAGAAAGAGCTCACAGATGGTTTTTGCTTTCCCTTTTAGACAACAGAGGAAACTTCCAAGCCAAAAGATGATGAAAGAAATACAAGTTAAAGTATCTGGTAAGTTGGGTGTTTATTTGTAAATGAAGACAACTGTACCTTCTGCCAGTTCATGTGTTACAGATGAGAGAAGTGAGGTCCACCTCTTGAGTAATTCATGCTCACTTTACACTGTTGGCACGAAATGCATACTGCAAGCTCTACAGAGTAACTGGTCATTCTTCGAAAGCACTAAATGGGATGACTGTGCTATTGAAATGTTTAAAAACCTTAATCTTGTAATTAAAAGCTTTTTAAAATGTTAGGCCAGGCACTTAAAATGACCATCTGAGGCTAGTTGAATCTTTGAAATCCAGATGCTCATTACTGCAGGTTACTGTGGCAAAGCAAAATTAGCATGTTACAACTTAGCAAAATGTCATGAAGATATTGGTATTCCCCAAAATACCAGTACGTGGTGGGGTGGGGAGAAGTACCCTTTAGAGTCTGGTGGAAATTACAGGGTTTTGTGAAAAAGGGCAAAGGAAAATATTGGCCATTTTTATTTGTCATTATTTTGGAAAGTAAAGTACTGTGTCTGACTCTAATTTATGGTTACTGAAGAAATTGGACAGATGAAGGAATTTCTGAGATCTTCAGAGCTGGGCCCTTATCTTAATCTTCAGAAAGGAGAAGGCTTAATGTAAGCCTTAAAAGCATACAAGCACTTACTGACCAAAGCGTAAAAGAAATCAAGTATAGGTTAAATCGAGTTCAGCTCTCTCACCATAATCTATCTGTATTTTCTATAAAAAAGGAGCTTTATTAGTTAGAACTGTTCTAACATTTTTCCCAAAATTAAAAAAATTCTATTAATCCACTTTCATGTTGACTTATAGGAAATTCCTTCTTGTCTGTTATACAATGCTTTTGCTAAGTGGTATTTACTATGCCTGTAACAAGAAAATTACATATTAAATGATTCACTGCATTTTTTATTTGAATTTTTCAAGGTATCTGCATATAAAATCTTCAGCTGGTGGATGGTGACTTTTGAAGAACAAAAGTCTTTGGCAACAAAACAATTGTTCTGGGTGATTTCTAGACTGGTTTTTGTTGAGCCTTTGAACATCCTAAATATTGGTTTGTTATTCTTTTCCAGAAAGAAAATGAATTTGACTGGTTCACCTGTGTTATTGTACTGGGTATTGATAAACTTTGAATTTTTTTAATTGCCTTCAATTGGGAGAGAAAGAAAGCTTTATATTTGTAATAAATATATTTGATAAAGTTTCTTAAAGCAACACCAAAAAAACAAAAGAAAATCTAAGCGAATTTTTGCACATTCTACACACAGTGCCTGTAAATCTCATTTGTATTTTTAGTTTGCACTTAATTTTTTTGTTAGTGTTTGGAAAACAATGCTTTAAACATTTTTCAATGTTCTGATTTCTTATTACCCCCTCTCCTCTTGGGCTTTTGAACTGTATTTGATGTTGCTTTGGGATAATGTTTATAAGTCAAACATAAGATATTGTACATTGGGCACATATCTCCTCTTGGGCTGCTAATAATAAATTAATAACAGGTAACCTGGACAAACCAGGAAGCACCAAACCCCTTTTCAGCTTGAACTCTTCTTTGCCAGGTGTGAGGACTTGTGCATCTTACAGTCAGCACAGAACACACTGAGACTTGAATCAGGTCAGCAACAGAGCAAAATATAGGTTAGATAAGTCCTTGTGTAGCAAATTTTGAGCATAACAAATAAAATCTAATCCTTAGGGTATTAATCTGACTTGAACTCTGTTGGTTTACCATGTTAGTAAACTGTGCTTTCTGTTATCTATACATAAAACCTGAGCAGCAACTTGTCATTAGAACTATTGCCACATTAGTCTTTGCACTGTATAGCATCTGGCTTTATGGAACCTACGTTTACCAAATACAAAAAGAAACTTCTGCTTTAAAAAAAATTATATATATATAATTTTAAATCTGCATTTCCCCCACAGCAGTGTAAGTAGGTTCTGATGTCCCACCACTTTGAATGGTTTCTCAGATCTTTCTGAATGAATATTTCCTGAACATTGCACTGATATCATCGATTAGAATTTTGATATTTAATTTCATCCTTATTTCCTGGTAGTGAATGCAGGAAAAGATGTCAGGTACATAACATAAAACAGATTGGGAATTTCTTGTTTCCAAAGGGCATGGCCTTCCTTAGCATCAGTTTGAAGCTTTTGTTATGACTTAGCTGACTTGTGGCAGCGGGGCAAGCAAAAACAGTAAAACACTGCTTGTAAATGGCACCACATCTTGTTAACCTCCCTGCCAAATAACTCTCTGAAAGTCATGCACATACCTGTGGGATTTCACACTCCACCAGCTTAAAATGCTATGTCTCTGTCCATCAGAAATAGTCATTATTCTATTTTTAAGGCAGCAACAAGAAAAGAAAAACCACTTTTCCTGAGGGATTTCTAACTATGTATCTAATCCTCCCATTTGGGCAGTAGAGGTGTTTGCTTTTTTGTTTTCTTTTTTTAAGAAAAATCTTGAAGCCTTTGACACTGACAGATGTGTCTGCAAGGATATGGCTACAGTATTACTAATTTCCATGCGTATCTAGAAGTATTTTTAAATGGCATACCAAAATCCAGAAGTTTAAAGATGCCTATAAAAGTAAACATTTATTTAAGGTACTCTGAATATGCCTTCTTTTTTAATTGGAAATATCTTCAAAACTTGGGTGTTTGTTAATAACTAATAACTGGAGTAAGCTACAGGATCTAAAGCAGCCCTTTTTACAATCTAGTTAGGAGAAAATAATTGCAAATACCCACTTAGAGGCAAAGAACAATTTTTATTACCAAAAAGCTTTCTGCACATTGTTGTGGCAACATTGTATCTGTTTAGAAAATGGGCTTTTCCAAAAGCAAGTGAAGGTAGGTTCCTCAGGTGACCAAAACTGAAAATCAGTATTTCCATGTTTCACTAATCAAGGCATAAAATAAAATTAAAGCAAAATATTTTACATTAAAATCTTGGTTGTGTATTTTTTTTAAAAGGGAAATCGTTAAAAGGGTGGAAATTACCAGTGATTTCTATTTTTATTAAACCATTCACTACAACAAACAAGTATAAAAATTCCAATTCCACTTTTATACCTATTTGTTGTGGTGAATGGTTTAATAAATTGGAGATTTATGTCCAGAAGTCACTCTATTCTGTCGTGTATTAGAGGAACACATTTTGACATTTTTCATATCAATCATATTCCCGTATCTTGAAATTTCTGCCTTATATTCAAAAAGTTCAGTTTGAATTCTTTGCCAGGTGTGAGGATTTCCGCACCTAATAGTCGGCGTAAAACACGCTGCAACTTTAATCAAGTCAGCAACACAGCACACTGTGGGTTAGATAAGTCCCTGTGTAGCAAGTTTTCAGAATAAGAAATAAAATCTAATTCTTAGGGTATTATCTGACTTGAACTCTGTTGGTTTACCATGTTAGTAAACTGTGCTTGCTATTACCTATACATAAAACCTGAGCAGCAACTGTGTGCTGAAGCAACTGTGTGTGAAGTCTTCACAAAAGACTTCAAAGCCAAAGAATGTCCTATTTGCTAATATGAGCAAATATTTTGTTTCACAATGTACTATCATTTATTGGTGACCCTGCAATAATTTACTGTCAGTAAATGCCAATAACTAGTTATTTAGAAATTGTAAACTAGGCCAAATAAGAAGCAGAGAGAGAAACGAATCACCTCCCTAAGAAAAGGGTTTTCCTACAGACTTGAATGCACTCTGCTTTTTCAGAAGAGATACTGTATCAGTCAGGGAAATAGATGACACTCAGAATTATCCGAGGGGGGTTCTATAAAAAGACTTTTTGCAAAAGTACAAGCACATTATGTGGAAACCACAAGTCTCGCCAGGACTAGTAAAAGCCAGGCTCCCACTGAGGCCCCTAATCCTGAAGGGATGAGGAGGGAGCAGTTACCAAAATCCAGAGGTGGAGAAGGCTGTGTGGAAAAGAGGGTCCCCTCTCAGGAGCTAAGACCCTCAGGGGATGCCAGCCCGAGGCATCCAGTAAGGGAATCAGGGAAGAACACCTA